CCAGTCGCTTGAGAAGTTCACCGCTAAAAACAAAGTTTTCAGTTGGCCGTTTTTGGGGAATAAAGAGAGACGAGAGACAACTCAGTTTAATGGAAAAACGAAATAGGTCAGTTCAAAACCGTTCATTACTAGAGTTAAACATTTGTTCATAAAATTGCATGAGGTATCTTAATTCATATTTCCATTAAATTAAAATTAACTGTTAAAAAGTGAGGCATCGATTTTTGAGTGCATGATATTGGCCGTATATCGAAGTCACTCACCTACAATAACTGCGCCCACAAATAAGCTGAGAATTATTCGGATCGTCCAGAAAAGCCTCTAAAATGAGGACACGCCAGTGTGAGTGTCTCGTAACTGTTACCGTGCATATCAGCGTATACCTCTTAGGATAAAGTCTTAAAAAGCCGAGTTCACATTTATCTCAAACTTTTCTTTCTTTGTCTTCTTAAAACATGCTCCCTATCAAGACGCCTTTATGTTTGCCCCTAGATTTCGTATTAAACCTGTTATCATTATGATTTCCTTTACACGACGAGATATAATTATGGCAGTATTTTGGCATACTAATCTGTTATATCGTGATAACGAGCATAGCGACATAAAGGAACACGGGATAACCCTGCACATTTTTTACCAGGTGCAATTTAACAGAGAAGGAAATTCTTTATATTACCGGCTTGCCGCGAATCCCCGGGAGAATCAGAAGGAAAGCGGCTGCGAAGAGCGTCAGCACAAGTATTACAGTAAGGAGGCTCAGGCTGAAGATGAAGGGAGTCCTTTGTTTGGGGTAGAATGGGTAAATGTCGTTGTAGAACGTCATCTTCTCCGGAGCTCACACGGCAGTGTCGGTGAACACTTCTCAGTTACCTGAAGATGGAGAGATAGTACTTGGTCAGTGAGTCCCAAAGACACAACGGATCCTTCTCACATGGGTATAAGGCGGCCCAAACGGCATCAAGCCTTTGCCATAGAATTAAACAACATATAATGATTCAATTACATTAAAAAATGTAAAGGTAAAAAAACCTGCTCACATTCTTCGTTGCTTTCCAGCTGCCTGTGAATAATGCAAAGAATGCAAATCCTTACCTGAAAAACCGTAGGTGACTAATTGACTAGACCTGCAGGAGAGGTGCGCGTGAGGGGCGCCTCGGACACCAGCTTTTATAGCACCCGCCTTACATTGGGAAGCGGTTTCATTTGCATACGTGGGGCTTCAGCTGAATTGCGTGTACTTATCTGTTATGAGCCTTATAAAACGAGATTACTGTAAAGGGGATCATTCCTAGGCAGGACAAATTCCCTTCAAACAGCTAGAGAAACATTTACTGTACAGTATCGTCTTTTTGATTAATCTCGTTCTGTTAGAAATGCAAGTAAAAAGCTTAATATTAAATTCCAGAAGTTCCACGAACACTGAAGTTTATTAGACGGGAATTTGGTGAGTTTTTAATATATATATATATGTTTTGATCCATCTGTTAAGTAACGATAATTTGATTTTCATTTTGAGTTAAATCAAAGGACCCGCTGCATATCGGTAGCGCAGCTTACCTGCCGATGGTGCCATTGCCAAAGCCCTCCTTAGTCCGCTAAAATGAAACGATCTTGTTCCAGCATTGTGCCGAATCTCTGATGCGTTATAAAAGTCAGATATCAAGCTTTTCCGCTTTTTTTATTTAAACAGATATATTACATTATATAAATGTATTTGACCAGAATCTAGTGAATATTATCCTGGCTATGATAACTTACATATTGAAGGACCAAGCGAAACCGTTTTGGGAATGTTTCCCCTTCCCTCCCCAATGATATCTGATGCCATTCAACGTGTCTCTCAGCACAAGTGGCCTTCGAGCGACTCTTATCTTTGGGTTGAGAAGAAGCTCCGCTTGGGTGAATCTCTCTGCAAGAATGGATTTGCGTAGGAAAGAGACCTCGCATCTCTCCGCTGCCCTGTTGGTGGGAATATGTATAATTGCCACCGTGTGTGAGTATTTATATTAAGGCCACGATTTTTAAAAGGTTTCTAAACATTTCTAACGGCATAAATTTCACAGTATGCCGGCTCGATTTTTATAATTAAAATTTGGTGCTTGGCTACGTTGAAGTGTAACTATTTCTACAGGTTGTCATGCAAACATTGACTGGGAAATACAGCGCTACGACGGATGGTACAATAATCTAGCGCATCACAGCCGAGGCGCGGCAGGTAGATTGTTTTAAATTACTGCCGAACATCAGCGTCTGTCAGATTTGCATCGCTTGGGTTAAATATTTAGACTGATTAATTGTACATGACACTTTTTCAGTAATACAACAACCTTCAACAGAATATCGATTGCAATAAGTAATTACGGTAATGATGATTGAATAAGTTAAATGTACGGATATTTTAGACAGATTATGAATAGTTTGACATCTCGGCGCTGTAGGTACTGCTTTGATGCGCCTCCTGCCGGCCCGCTACTCTGACGGAGTTAGTCAACCTCTTCAGGAACCGCATGTGCCCAACCCACGCAAAATCAGCAATCTCATCATGAAGGGCTCCTCGGGGCTGCCCTCTAGCAGGAACCGTACGGTCCTCTCTGTTTTCTTTGGTAAGTCACAACACTTAGAGTTGGCAGACAACTTTCTCTAATATTGAACTGGTCTGGGGTCTCTTTCAAGTCTGCTTGCTACCTTACTTAGTGAACAACTAAACAGATTCACTAATTTAGGAACTCGTGAATAGCCATCCTATAACTGGCAAACCCGTGCAATAACTGTAACACAGCACAATTTTATTTATTTTATACATATGTTACAATTTTCAATATTGTCAGCTTCAGATGTATGATACAGCAGGTCATACACTGAGGAGACATGACGTTCTTGTTGGTCACAGTGCAAATGAGAAAGTAATAAGTAGAATATAAATAAATCATCATTTTAAGACACGTACACTGAGACAACCAAGAAATACACCCAACCATGTAATTGGTGGGGAAAGATTGTGCAATAAATAAATAGGCGTGGTTTCAGAGTTAAGTCTGAAGTCATAGTCAGTGCTGATTCAGATGTTTTCAGGCACCTGCAGGCCCAGAACCACCTGACCTACAACGCTGCACTTTTTTTTTTATTCTCTAGTTTTGAATCAGGCTCATGTTGCAGCAGGTGCTTTCTATTCGCTCCTTGAGAAAGGCGAACAGCAATCACGTCTCCTGTTTGTCTCACCTACTCCCCACAATATTGTGCCCCCACTGCAATTTCTGTTGCCCGTTTTGCTAAATTTCTGCCGTGCCAGGTCTGTGCACTGGTATGATTGTGGCAGTTTTGAAGCATTCGGGGATAAATGCTTGCCTGCATAAGGTGTCAAAGACGTCCCTGCACAGAGCCTGACCCCGGAGTAAAACACCCCTTCATTGGCGCCCGGGGTGGTCTTCCCTGGCATCCTGCATGCCACATCAGACCGGGCAAAAAACTGGTTGAGCCTGGTACGTGAGGATGTTTTGTAATTTGTCAGGACCTGTATGTCTTGCAACACATGTTGTGTTTCTTTGTTGTCATGGAAACGGCCATGGATTTCTTTTTGTTCATGAGCCCAGTCAGTAGCTCTGATGTCCGCGGACAGACAAAGTGGCCCCAGCTGTCCTTAGGGCCAGGGCCACCAGAGCTGAAGGCCACTCGTGCTTTTACCCTGATGCTCACTTCTGCTGTAAACCAGGGCTCCCAGTTGGCTCTTGTTGGTGACACACTTCAATACCATGACATCCTCCATGTTTTTGGGGACATAATGGTCTCTGTATATTCTGTAAGGTCCACTTGATCTTCATAAATAGATGCATCTCTGAATTCATTCCATTTCAAGTATATCAATACTTGAAACCTAATCAACTTTAAGTATGATTATTAGTATGGAATCAGTCATGCATTTATCAATGATCTATATCCACTTAGGGTTCTGGAATCATTATGAAAATTACAGACCGTGCAGCATCTGACTGTTTACATTTCTTATGGTTTAGGTTACCATGCTGTGTATGAGATCTTGGACTCCAAAAGGCCGGGCTGCCCTCCAGAATATATGCACATTGCAGTCCCAATAGGAGATCCTGTATTTGATCCCAACAGTACTGGGAAGGTCCTGCTTCCATTCCAGCGTGCCCAGTGGGACCATGAATCTAGTCAGAGTCCCAACAATCCCCGCACACAGGTAATAAGGGTTTAACTGACTATCTTTTTATGCATTTTACTTTTTTGTTCATATATGTTTTTTAAAAATTACATTCTGCTCAGACACTGCTTGTCCAGTAAAGGGTCACAATGAGCTTGCCGTTTATCCCAGCAAGTGCAGAGCACAAGATACGGGTACACTGGATGCGATGGCACTCCATCAAAGGGGGACATGTGCGCACACGTGTGCACATGCAGACGTGCATGCATACACGCACAAACGCACATACACACGTGTGCACATGCAGATGTGCATGCATACAAGCACAAATGGGCATACACATGGGTGCACATGCAGACATGCATGCATACATGTACAAATGGGCATACACATGGGTGCACAAGCAGACGTGCATGCATACACGTACAAATGCGCATACACACGTGTGCACATTCAGATTCGCATGCATACACTCACAAACGTGCATACACACATTTAGTTGTCCAGCTAAATAGTTTGGACATTATATATTCTGAATATAAGATGTAACTCGATTGTTACTGAAGATATAAAAAAAGGAACAGTTACCAATTTAATAACCCAGCTGGTGGTTCGAGGAATTTGATGATGTCTGTCAAGCGGAAAGATGAAAAACTTGAATCCTGCCGAAACAAAATTACCGTTGAGGATTTTTGAGGAGTCACTCTGACCACATGTCCCTTCACACAGCTGAACCATGTGACTGCTTGGATCGATGGAAGCTCCATCTACGGGGCCTCCAGCTCCTGGTGTGATGCTCTGAGGAGCTTCAAAGGGGGTCGCTTGGCCTCAGGACCCCAGGAGGACATGCCCAAAAAGAGTGCAGGACAGTACTTCATGTGGACATCTGCAGACCCATCCTCAGGTCAATACGGTCGTCAGGATCTGTATGGTAAGAGGCACCTTCCCATCACACAGCTCACCTTTGGTTGTAGGGGTGCTGGATTATGGCTTTGGGACATAAACCTGCCATGTTTTACTTGCTTTAGTATTATTAATATCAGGATATATTAGCGCTAGAACGTTAAACACTGATGGTGAGATACTGAAGTCATGAAAAGAAAGGTGTCAGATATACCCATGGTCAGTATGTTGCCATTAAAGTTCCCCAATAATAGAAAGACTGAATTTTTTTTACCCCATTATTACATGGTATGTTTATCTGAATAAATTTAAATTTTCACCAACAGAGAAACCATCATGACACAATCCCATGAGACTTCTGAATGACAATAGATTGTAACTGAATAAAAATTGGTTGTAAGTGTGCAAAAAGAGAATTCTATATTAAAGAGAATAAATTGCTAAAGGAATATATTAGTAGAAAGTGAAAAAAATAGTGTCAGCAGGGAACAACTTTTCTGACACCAGACTCTGAACACTATCCAGTTTGTTGCTGCTGATATTACAATGCAAATCATAAATACATGATATTAGAAAAACCTTAATGGTAAAGAACCTTACCGGCGAAGAACCTTAATGGCAAAGAACCTTAACGGCAAAGCCCATGCGTTTTCATAGCATCTTCATGGCTACATGGTTGCTGTGCTGAAATTATGCTGAAAATGGAAATGTGTCATTCTATTGTAATGAAAAATTCAAGGAAATCCAAAGTTTGCACGTTTCAGACAGTCTAATTCCCAGCTGTTAGTTTACATTAGCTTACATTAAGTACCCTGCAGAGACTTTTCGAGGGGCAGGCACTCAAAGCCTGCCCCTAGAAAGTGTCAGTCAGTAAGTTTAAAGGGATGCACTTTAAATATTATGGTCAAAAAGGGTCATAAGAACATATGAAATTTACAAACGAGAGGAAATCATTCGGCCCACCAAGCTCATTTGGGGAGAACTTAACTAATAGCTCAGAGTTGTTAAAATCTGATCTAGCCCAGGGTTTTAGCTTGCGCTACAGTAACAGGAAGACTACTCCATAGTCTAACTACACGCTGTGTGAAGAAGTGCTTCCTCAAATCCAGTGTAAAGTGTTCTCCTGAAAATGTTCACTTATGGCCACGAGTTCTAGTATTTAAACTAATACTGAAGTGACCAAACCTGCACACAATACAGTCATCCCTCGCCACTTCGAGCTTCGATTTTCGCGGCTTCACTTTATCGCGGTTTTTTGTATTGTAGCACCGGCGGGGCACATAACCCAGCATGCCCCGCGTGCAGTTGTAAATATCCCTTGTTGTGTTGCTGTTATTGTTAATGGTTATATTCCCTTATTGTTGGGCGTGTACCTGGTCTGATCCACATGTGCAATTAGCTTCCGTAAATCCCCCTCCGGGTATGCGTCTTACAGTTCGGCGTCTGACAAGCTTGTGTTTCTTATGTATAATCGGTTTTTCGGTGCTCATTGGGTGCCAGCTGTAGTCCTTGTAAGAATCGCTAATAAAGAGCGAGTTTCCCCGGCCAGCGAGTCTCCGTGTCTCTCTGCTCCGCGATACTTCGGTCCGCCCGCCACAGGATATTCATTAAAAAGTTGATTGAGACAGTGAAAATGGTACATCGCTACGCATCGGAAGCATCTTTGCTCTTCGTAATTAAATGTACAATAATAATAATATGATATTTGTAACGTCTAATATGTTTAATTTTCTCTTATTTTGTTTAATATATTGGGTAATACGAGTATAATGGTGACTAAAGGGTGTTATTTAATGTCTAGAGGGCTCCAATAATGTTAAAAACCGTCTTGAGAAGGTTGTAAACAGGTTTTCTATGCTCTAACTGCGAAAATATTCGATTTATAAATAAAGAATCCTACTTCGCGGAAATTCACTTATCGCGATAGAGTCTGGAACTGATTAACCGCGATAAACGAGGGCCGACTGTATTTTTAATGTAAATTATAATGCTGATAGTGATATTTGTGGATCGCCTTTTATATCTGTTTGTGTTTTAAAATGCTTTGGCTCTACAGGAGCCTGACCGTTTGCTTGTGTGTACATAGTTTTAATGGTTAACTTAATTAGTATGTGTTAACTCTCATTGTACAGTATGACTAGAAGTTCTCAAGACATGCATTCCCATTAATTATTATGTGTTCTCTCTACGGATCTTTCGCTATGCTTCCCTGTTATTCAAGTATTCCACCGTCTGAATGGCCAACTTGAACATAATTAGTTGCAATGTTAGACCCTTAAATTCACCCATTAAGCGCACTCGCTGTTTCGAATTTCTTCATCGTAAGCAAATATATATAGTACTAATTCAAGAAACGCATTTGACAGAGAACAATGTACAAAGCTTTCAAAACAAGCGTTACAAACTTATTGCTCACTCATGCGCTTTCTCTAAAACAAGAGGTGGCTTCCTTCTTACACAGAGGAAACTGCCATACACAGTAATAGAGAGTGGAAAGGATAATAATGGTAGATTTGTTTATGTTCTGCTTATAATAAATTAGGTCAAGATTTTAATAGCTAACATTTAAGCACCCAATACATTTGATGATAGTTTTCTACCCTTCGTCAGTGATTCCAAGTTAAAAAAAACTCTGACTGCCATAGCATTATAGCAGGTGATTTTAATGCAATATTATGTCCAGAATGGGATAGATCCAGTGGCTCTTCCGAGTCAATGCCACCCTCTTCTTTGTCACTTGGCTCATTCCTGACAGATCTTAATTTAGTGGATATCTGGCGTCTCCACAATAACAAAGTTAAGGCTTCCTCATTCCACTCTGGCCATCATGGCTCCTCCTCTAGAATAGACTATATATTCGTTAGTTTGTCTATTACAAATAGTATTACTCATATTGATATGCTCCCCATTTTAATTTCTGATCACACCTTGGTAGTATGGATTCTTAAGCCAGGTATTTATCACCCTAAAGTGCACAGATGGAGATTTAAAGACTTTCTACTTGGTAATGAGAGCTTTTTATCTCATATGAATCAACATAATAATAACTTTATTACTCACAACAAAGGAAGCTGCAATGATGCTCAAATATTGTGGGAAACAGATAAATGCTTCATGATGGGCGTGTGCATTGGTTTCTCTTCCAGACAGCACTCCGAGCGTAACAAACGGCTGAATGAAATTGAGAGGGAGACTAAGAGAACAGAGGAAGAGCAACTAGCAAATCCCTCAGTGGCAAATGCACAGCTGCTCACTAAATTGAAAGGGGGATATCATACTTTATCCCTAGCAAAGGCAGAATTTATATTACATAGAACAAAGCAAAGATACTACTATGATGGTGACCGCCCAGGTAGTTTACTAGCCCTCAGACTTAAGCGGTGTGAGTCCAAAGCAACAATAAATGCAATTCGGACAACAGAGGGCACAGTTATAACACAGCTAGGTACTGCAGTGTATTTAAAATGTTCTTTTGTAATCTATACACATCAGAATGTCAGTTTCATACTGAAAGGTCCACCTCATTTATTCGCGGCGTATCTCTTCCAAAATTAAATGATGAAGAGGTAAAAAATTTTAGAAAAATCTATATCAATGGAAGAGCTTGAGTTAGCAGTGAAATCCCTTAATAGAGGGAAATGACCTGGGTTGGATGGCCTACCCCCTGAATTTTATTTGGCATTCTGGGACCAACTACAGTAGGACCACTAATGTTAGATTCTATAAATTTTGCAATTAAGCAGGGGTTAAAGGGAGAGTTGCATCTGATAATCTCAGAAGGCTCTTACATATTATTGACATTTCTAATACCCAAACAGAAGACTGTGTTGTTTTTTCTCTCAATGCAGAAATGGCCTTTGACCGACTTGAATGGGGAAATTTATGGATGGTTTTGGAGAGATTTGGCTTCGGGCCGAAATTTATCTCTATGATAAAAGCTTTGTATGGCGGTGCCACAGCATGTGTCCTCACTGATACTTTGCAATCACCAGCCTTTAATTTACATAGGAGGTACAAGACAAGGCTGTCCATGCTCACCTCTGCTATTTGCTTTGTCTTTTGAACCTCTGGCACAAGCCATCAGGGAAAGTGATGTGATATCACCTATTACTACTGGCCACTGTAGACCTCTCCTTGTATGCAGATGACTGTCTTCTTTTTCTCTCTAATATTCGAGACTCTCTGCTACACCTCTTAACCTTATTCAACAATTTTCATAATATGGCAGGATATAAAGCAAACTGGTCTAAATCTGCTCTTCTCCCTCTGAATTTAGCTGCTAAAAAGGCCCATCTGTCAGCTGGTATCCCTGTCTGTACATCTGTTACATACCTTGGCATAGAAATTTATCCTAATCTCTGTAGGATAGTCAGTGAAAACTTTTATGGGGTAAAAAAGAAAATAGTGCATGACCTAAAGAGATGGGGCTCTCTTCAAGTCGGCATGCAAGGCAGAATCTCAACTATTACAATGAACATTTTGCCCCGTATAAATTTTTTGCTCTTTATGATTCCCCTTGCTCCCCCTCCAAAATACATATCTGAAATGCATTCTCTCATTTTATTTGGGGAGGAATAGTCCCAGAATTAAACTCGCAACTTTACAAAGAAGCAAGGTCACTGGAGGCCTCTGGTGGTCCCAAATTTAAACTTCTACTACTATGGCTTTCAAATTAGACCACTGCAGGTATGGAGACAGCATGGCTTAGTACCACATTAGCCTCAGTTATATGTCTATGACCAACATATATTGGTCATAGACAACGCTGTATTCGTACTAAATGGTGGTAAGTTACTCGTGTTCTCTACTTTGAACATCCGTCACTCTGAACCATTAAATGGCGGAACTTTAAATAGGGGCAGGTACTCAGGCAGCCTGCCCTCCCACTCTGCACATGCCTCCTGGATGGATGGATGGATGGATAATGTAAAATATTGTGACAACATCCAGATACCCTCAGTCATAATGTAGCTATTTTCAAAACACTTCAACCTTTCAAACAATTTGTTCAAGCTGGGCACCTTAAACAGAATAAAAATTATGATGGCAAAGGGTATCACTATGGCAGAGTTGGCCGTTTCATTGTCGTACTGGATTTAGGGACGTGATCCAAGCCGGTGTACCTGTTCGTGAGAGAGGGCCTATTTGTCAGCCTCTCAAATGTATCCTTTTGCTTTTTTCACCGCCACAAATCCCAGCCTTTCTTCCATAATAGGTGGTATGATTCACGTCTGTTATGGCTGGTTAGCGTTCAGTAATCTGGATTTATGGCGGTAAATGACGGGAGTGGCACATTTCTAAAGTGTTTCCTGAAACACAGAACTGATAAACTGAGTAAAGGAAATTGATACCGTATTTACATTTTTAAAAAGCATAGGGTCTTATTTTATAAACAGTGACTTGATAATTAGTGCAATTGAGAATTGTAAATTAAAGTTGTGTATAATTTTAATTATATCTGAATTATTTTAATTGCTTCAACAGGAAGAGCAGGAGTATCCGTAGTGCTTTGTTTTAAAGGGGGCCATACTAAAAATAGCACTGTCAGTATCGTGCGTGATTACTTTAATACCATGTTTTTGTATTGTGCGGCATACCCACATGAGTGCAGCCTCCATTTCAGTTTATGTCACTGTTTTCTAGAATTTGGCAACGCTTGGGGGAATGAAAACGTGTTCACCGCAGCAGAGGGGATCATCTGGTTTAGGTACCACAATTACCTCGCCTCTAAGCTGCAAGAGGAGCACCCGTCATGGGCGGACGAGGAACTGTTTCAGTATGCCAGGAAGAGGGTGGTGGCCACACTCCAGGTACAGATATGGGTCCGTTTGACACAAACAGGGCTGTAAACTGTTAATGAGCGTGAGGTATAAATGATCTCATTAGCTGGACATCGGCGGCTTCTGTAAAGTTTATCAGATACTGTAAGCAAACAGTGCACTTTAACTGACAGTAAATTATTTCTTTATCAGGATTTACTTAAGCTGAATAAATTCATACATAAATACGTTAAATTGATTCGTATAGTATTACAAAAATGCTGGGCAATGCTGTTTGTACTGAAAACACATTATTCTGATGTCATGTATTAAACGCCAGCATTCTTGCCCACCTTACTTTCTGCCAGAGCATTGTGTTTTACCAATGGCTGCCGGCATTGCTGGGACGTGAGAGAGTGCCAGTATACTCAGGTGAGGAGGCTTCACTTATTCATGTTATAGTGTAGGTGTCAACGTAGACAACA